CAGGTCCAGCACGATCCACGCTTTGTGCTCGTGACTGATGCCAAGGTGAATGCCCCAGCGGGCGCGGCTGGCGAATTTTCCGATGGTTGATGTCGGCGGGCGGTATTGGACCATGCACCCCCACACGCGGAGCATGGAGGTGTCCCCTTTGGTCCCGGTCCACTTCACATGCGGGGACAGGTTGCCGATGATGGCAGTGGTTGACAGTAGGTTGTGCACCCGCACGGCGTGGTGCATCGCGTAAGTCCAGTAAATTGGCGGCAGTTTTGACTGCTTCATCAATGCTCGCACCTTCGTCATCTGCGTGCGGTTCGTTCGCTCAGCTACGCCCTGCTGCTGGTGTGCGTAGGAAAGAGAAATGTGGTGCTCGATCCCCTTTTGCGCGAGGTAACTCTGCATCTGGTTGCTCCTGAACTCCTTTGCGCCGTCAGATTGCCAGATTTTTAGCTTCTCCCCGGATTGCCGCTGCGCGTGCGCAAGCCAGAGGCAAAACACCTCATAGGCTCTGTCGCGTGTTTCAACGTTCACGATCCACACATAACGCGTGCCGGCGTCGATGAAGGTAAGCGTGTACATTTCGTCGTTGACTCCGCAGTGCCCCACGTTCAGGAAATCGCTGTACACCTTGTACAGCTTGGGGTAGCGGTTCGTCCCTGGCTCAAGCAGCGAGAACGGCTGGTGACTTAGCGCAGCTTCGGGGCAGACGGTGCAGTTGCGCGGATGTGTCGTGCTTCTTACTTCGGTGCCGTCTGGGCGTAGCAGCGCCCCAGGAGCGAAGACTCCTGCGTCGATGCAGTTCTTCAGTGTCGCGCGAGAAGGATGTCCGAGACGCTGATGCCAAAGCGCATCGTCAGCGCGAAAGCCGGAAGTGCGCATGAAGCGTACGCGAGCTTCTTCGGGATCCTCATCAGGTACAGGGGCAGGTGCTGCTGATGCTTCTTCTGCTGCTTCATCCTCATCGTTGGCGGTAGTCAACATTAGTGCCAGAAACTCTCTGTCGCGAACCTCAGAGAGGGGAATATTGGTCCCAGGGATGGTTCCAGGGGCAAAGGTGGGTTCGCGTGGTTCGGGAGCGGGTCCGTAAACAGTGCGGCGCGGGGTTGACGGTTCATTGCCCCAGTCAATGGTGTCCCATGGATCGCGGTGCGGTGGGTTGTCAGGAGGAGGTAATGCGAGTGGAGCATGGCGCGGGGGACGACCAAGAGGAACAACTTCAGGTGTTGCCTCAGTTTCCTCTGCTTTATCTTCTCCCCCCTTTTGTTCTTCGCGGAAAGTCCCCCATCCGCTGTTGTCGGCGCCAGTTGCGGCGCCCCATCCACCGCTTGCGTTGGCCCAAGTTCCGCCGCTGGTTCCCCATCCGCCGGTATCACTTGTTCCCCATCCGCCAGCGTTTCCCCACCCCCCCTACATTGGAGGCACTTTCTTCCGCTTCGGCTCCCCATGCGCCGCAAGCGAATGTTCCGCGTGCTTTGGCGAGGCTTTGTCGGCGGAGTTCCTCAGCTTCGCGCCGCGCCAAATCTTCGTCCTGTTCCACGGTAAGCTTCTTCGACGAGTTGCGCCAATGGGAGTAGATGTCCAGAAACTTCTCGTAGGTGTAGGGTCGAGGCACGCCATGGGCATCGAAGGTGCCGACGCTAGTTCCGCGCAGCATGCCTTGAAGGTGTTGTGAGGGGGAACCAATGAGAGGGTGCTCTGGTGTGCCGAACACACCGTGCGTGGTGATTTCGAGCTCCAACTGCGACATTCCTTCTTCTGGCGGCGCGTGGCGTTCTGCTTCGGCGATGGCGGCGAGTCCGCGGCCGGCAATTGCGCTGGTTGACGCCGTCGGCGTGTGGCAATCCCTGCAGATGCCGTCTGTGTCAGGGTCATGAAGCGCCGTTTCGCGTGGGTGGGGATGGTGCGGCACCCACGGTCTGTCGTCAGGGTGCTTCCAATCCCTGCGGTGGATGTGCTCGAAGCGCAGTGGCACGAGATCAATTAACTCGTGCAAATCGCCGCTGCAGTCGGGAATGTCAAAATCCAGGACGTACACTCCATTTTCGGAGTGCGCTCGTCCGATCTGCCTGCGGGGGAAGTTTCGTGATTCGAAGTGCAGCAGAATGTCGCGCGTTGCGCGATCCGTGCTGAGTTCAACGCCGCAATCCATGAGTTGTGCGGCGGAAAGCAGGTTGAAGCGCAGGTTCTGGACGATCAGCACATCGCTGAGCGTGATGTGCGTGCGGCTTCCGCGTGCCTTGAGCACGACGATGCCTTGCGCGCTTGCGCGCAGGCGAGTGTTGTTAGCCACGGTGACGTAAGTGACTGTGGGGGTGGCGACGGCGTTGGATATGTAACGCTCGGAGCCCACCATATGCTGACCGCAACAGCTGTCCAGATACCAAGTGTTGTAGCGCTTGTTGTCGTCACGTGCGAGCAGCGCCAGTCGCGGCGTGACGATGTGCGGGGTGTCGAACTTCAGAAATTGCTCGCGCGAGAGCCAGTCGAATGGCGCCACCCGCATATCAAGTACATGCGGAGGACTTTCAAGCAGCGGGACTGGAAGATTCCAGTCCTGGTCGTCGTCGTCGTTGAAGTCGCGGCGCGGACTGAACGGGTTGTTGTTGGTGAACGCGCCAATGGGGTGTGGTGCTGGCTCAGGTGAGGGTGAGCGCACGCGGCGACGACGCGACTCGCCTGTCATGGCCATGTTGCTCATGACATTGCGTACTGGCAGTCGATGACGGCTGCTGCTGCTGATGCTGAACTGCTGGGTTCAGGTTGCGCGCGGGTGGGGGTTGATAACCCTGGCCTGGACGCACGTCGCCTCGTGCGTCTTGTCGGCCGGACCAGTTGCTCGGATTGGTCTGGCGAGGGCGAGATCGGGACTTGCATCGATCCGCCAAATGCCCGAAGTTTCTGCAGACTTTGCAGTAGAGGCGCCGCGGCCTTCGCTCTTCGTTGTTGTCGGCGTAGAAGGCGAGCCGTTCTCGTTCTCGTCGTGGCGCTGGTCGCTGCTGATCCATATCCCGTTGTTTGACGAGAAGGGCGGCGCAAAGGGCGGCCTCCGAGATGACCCCCTGCTGTCGGAGAAGCGCCTTGCAGGGCCGCCACTCAGGGCCGAGCCCTTGAAGTACGATATTCACGAAAATTTCTTCCGAAATCGAACTTCCCAACTTCGCGATTTGGTCGCGAAGGCTCCGACGGCTATTGATGTAGCTGTTGGCCTTCTCCCCTGGGGCCATTTTGGTTTCCAGTAGCTGCTTGAGCAGCCGGCTCGAAGAAACTGAGTCTTTCGGCTGATACACGCCGTTGAGATGGCGCCAAGCGTCGAGGGCTGGAGCGGCTGATGTTTTGTATGAGCGAATGCTCAATTGCTCCGCCGGCGACATGTTCCGCAGGAGCACCCCGTACGCCATCAGGGATTCGTTGTAGTATCTTGCCTTGGCGTCGTCGGTGTCTTCGGCAGGCTCCGTGTAACTCCCGTCGAAATAATGAAAGATTTGGGCGTTCTGCAGCAGGAGTTCCAGTTCGAAGCTCCAGGTATAGAAATCTCTGCCGTCAAAGCAGGTACTTGACTTTATTCTTGATATGCTGAGAAACCTTGATTGCGCAGAGAGAATTGCCTCTTCACTAGGACGGGGAGTCTTGGGAGTTGAACCATTTGTGTCGAGGGAGAATGTGTGCGGGGCGGCGTTCTGGCCGGTTGGGGCTGGTTGAGAAGGTTGCGAGGATGTTCCCGCGTCGCCGTTCCGCAATGTTTGGAGTCCTTGCTCCAAGCTGGTGAGTCGCTGAAGCAGTTGTGCGAGGACTTCGGTTCCGATCGTCGTCGTCCCCTCGCTTGTCGCAGCCGGGTTGGGTTGCGCTTCAGCCGTCAGATTCGTCTGACCGCCAGATCCTCCGGCCATTCTTACACGCGAGCGTGTGCCGGACGCCACTTTCCGAATGTCGTAATTTTCGGGGTGCGAAAGATTCCTGAGTCGCTCTCATACCATGCTGCGATCAGAAGTTGATCGTAACCAGGATCACCTCAGGAAGGTTCGCACACTTCTAGTCTAGTGGTGGGCCCTTGACCTCAATAGCAGAGTGAATGTAAAATGCTTGAGATGATTAAAACATGCAAATACATCAAATATAAATATGAGTACAGGGAAGAGGAATCGACCTAGCTAGCCATGTACTCTAAGGGGTACATTCCCTTATTCAAATTCATTCCCAACCGTGCGGCGCGTACAGTTACGAAACTGTTCCCGCCAGAACCCTCCTGCCTGCAGTTGCCGATGCCGTCTGCTTCCGACGGTCCAGATGCATCCCAACCGTCTGACGTTTCGAGTCAACTCTGACTCTTCACATTCGTTCTCGATACTGCGTGCTTCTTTAGCTGCGGTCGGGAGTGCACTGTAACCTTCATTCATTACTATTCGTAACACCAATACAATTTAGTTCCCCCTTCCGCACAATAGGGGGCTTTGTAAGGGATTAATGTTCTTTACATTCTTTCATTCTTTTAAAGCAGCAGTATACATTTGACACTACTGTTTGTTTTGAACAGTGTGTAAAGGCGATTTCGCCTCAACGAGAAAAAAAACACGTTGGCGAGAGTGTTGGCGAAAAGCTGAGGCCTAATTGTTGCGAGGGAGCCACGGTTGGGAAGGTTGTCAGTCACAAAATGGGATATTCACCCGTCACCAAACTCACCTTGCCGCGCTCACACCTGGGAGAACAAGAGACTGCTAATAGAATAGGTAGAACGAACCAAGGAGTGGCGACACGGCGAGTGCTAGTGGCGCCTCGCGTTCGCCCAGCCGCAATCCCGGCTTCGCGCGTATATGAAGACACGCTCGCGCCGTCTCGTGCGCCCAGACGCATTCGCGCCGTCGCCGTCGCGCCGTCGCGCCGCCGCATAGATGCCGCATTCCCCCTGTCGCAAGGCACCTTCGACATTCCTTTGCCGCATCCCCCCCTCCGCATTCCGTCACGAACTACGAAGCTACGCTCACACAGTTGGCGAGGCGAATCAGCGACTATTTACTGGGAAGGGAGAGAAGGGGAGGGAAGGGGAATGGGAAGGCAGGACGGGAAAATGGGGAGGGGGGAAGGGGAATGGGAAGGCAGGAAGGGAAAATGGGGGGGCAGGAAGGGGAATGGGAAGGCAGGAAGGGAAAATGGGGAGGTGGGAAGGGGAATGGGAAGGCGGGAAGGGAAAATAAGGAGGCCGGAAGGGGAATGGGAAGGCGGGAACGGGAGATGGGGAGGCGGGAAGGGGAGAACGGGATGCGGGAAGGGGAGAACGGGATGCGGGAAGGGGAGAACGGGATGCGGGAAGGGGAGAACGGGATGCGGGAAGGGGAGAACGGGATGCGGGAAGGGGAGAACGGGATGCGGGAAGGGGAGAACGGTGAGGCGACGCCGCGAGCGGGGATTTGCGTCGAGGCGAAGCCAGGAGCGGATTTGCGGCGCGGCGACGCCGCGACGGGCGTTGAGGCGAGCCTACGAGGCAGCAAGTTGCGGTGGGACGAGGCCGCTACTGTTGGCTCGATGCGGAGGCGATTTGCGACGAGCGGATTATGGGACGGAGGTCGACTCTAGGCCCTTGTGGGGAGCCAACGAGATATCTACGGAAAGTGCGGCGAAGCCGCACGGCGACGCCGCGGCGACCAAACGAATGAATGCGTATTCGGCGACGCTGGCTCCGCCGCAATCTTCGGCGTATGACATAAGCCTAAGAGACTCAATTCAATGATGTAGGTAAGATTATTCTAGTAGTGCATGCTAAGAACGCGAGTGAGCTGCTGTGGGGGGAAATGAATGAGTATACTTTTGGCATCTATAAACTTATGACATTCGAGTGAGCTTGGAGGAGTTGGGGGCCACTTGTTGATTCTCGAGAGAGAGGTTGGGTGGGCTTGTAATTCGGTTACCACCAGGTCCCTTTTATAAACTTTTGGCACTAGCCCTGCCAAATGTATACCGCTGCTTTAAAGCGACGGTGCACATTTGCCACCAAAAACCCAGAACCCTGGCGAACTGTTACTGCGGATGGAAAGTGTCCGCACGAAATCCTGGTTTTCGCCAGCCAGCACTTTCGCGCTGGCAAGCCTGGTTCAAAAAAAAAACTTCTGAACCCAACACTGCCAAAAGTTGCCCGTCGCTTTAAAGCCCGAGTCTAGAATGGCTACTCTTCAAGTTCAAGATTCTTGAACTAGAATTCGCTACGGAACCAGGTAACCCGGTTTGGAACACCCTTCTCTCGCAGCCCCCGAAGGGGTGATTGGAGCCCTTGTTTTTGATTGGCTGAAACTACACAGCCACAACAGTCACAGCCATCGCCAGGAAAACACAAAACAGGAACTACTGTTCATACTTTCGGAAACTTGAAGCTCGGGACTACCTTTCTAGACTCCATGGTAGTGGGCTCCTTAGCCCTCAGAATTGGCTTTATCCCGTAAATGATTAGGCAAACACCTGTCACTCGACTACGAATCTTACGGTCAACGGAAGCATTACTCACTCCCTTCACTCCTGTCACTCGTAATCCTGACTCGCACATGCTGTTCGCACATAATGTTAGCGCAAACGTCCACAAGGTGGCTACATCTCGGCTTTCTAAGACATCGCTCACCTGTTCCCTTTTAGGATTCGAGCAGATTACACGCTCAAACCTGTCACTCACACGCTCCCCACTTCTCACAATACATGTATTTCCGTTTGTCTACGTCGCTCTGGTCGCTCCACGACCTCCCAGTCCTTGGCCAAAACTTCAACCGCTCTTAGCGCTCGCCTCCCTCACGTCGCCTTTTAGGTGGCGCTCCCTTCCCGCGCCCGTCGCCCACGCTTACTTCTAGTGTCGCCCACGCTCTCCCATCCCGTCGCTCGCCGCTTTCCCTTCACTTCGCAAAAACTATTCCTTCCGTTCGCCCACGCGATTCCTTACTGAAGCCCTCGCCTAGCCTTCCCGTCGCCCTCGCAAGTCCTTTCCTAGCAATCGTAGATCGTGCTCGTCGCCCACGACCCTCGGATCAGACTCCCTCGTAACCTCCCTTCCTTCCCTCCATTCGCCTCCTTTTACCCCTCTCCCGTCCCCCACAGGACAACTCCCATCCATCCCTTTCCCCTCGCGCAGGTTCGCGATCATCGCTCCGCCCTCCCGTCCCTCATGTCGCCTCCGTCCCGCATTTCCTCTCGTGTTTCTCTTCCCTCCCGTCCCTCTCGACCTTCTCCGCCGCTCGCCTCAGCCCCACATTCGCATCGCTCACTCGATCCCTCCGCGCACTCCCTCACGTCGCTCGCTCAAACCCACCGCTCACAAAGGTTTGTCACCTCATCGGTTCCGTCGCTCACACACCCACGTTTGACACACCCGTTCTGCACACTCCCCCGTCGCACACTCACTTCGTCGCTCAAGAACTCCCGTCCCGCAAGGTTTGATCCTGTCGCTCTCGTTACCCGTTGTGGTCCGTCCATGTTCGTCACGCGCCCGTCTTCGTCGCTCCCATTGTTCGCTCACCCCCCTCCCCTCTTCCTCCCTTCTTCCCCTCCATACCCTGCCATGCGCCAACTTCTCCGCACCAATCTCCGCGTGCCTGCTGCGCGTAACGGTGCTGCAGATCCGGCTGGCGCTGATGATCGAGGTACCACGCGAGGCGGTTCGGCGGCCGCAGATGGGCATGGCGGGTGCTCTCACTACGATTCTGCCGACGCCTTCCTAGAGGTGCGGACGATGGGCGGGGGGGAAGGGAGATGTGGGGGAGTGGAACGAGAGGGTTGTGAGAGGGCTGGTAGTGGGCTGGGAGAGGGCTGAAAGAGGGCTGGGAGAGGGGAGGGGGGGAAAAGGGCGGGGAAGGGGGGGTAGAGGGAGGGGGGGGGTGGGGGGGGGGGAAGGGATGGAGGGGAAGTCATACACAACGAAATTGGGTTCTTTTGCGACGAGATTGCAAATTCATTCCTCGATAATCCGGGGAAGATGGGAGGAGCGAGCGGGAATAATCGCATGGAGGGGGGGTGGGGAGGGGGAGGAGGAAGGTGGAGGGAGGGGAGAAGGGGGGGGAGGGAATGGGGAGCTTGGTTGGTGATGAATGTGTGAGGGTTTCACAGCGAGAGGAAATGTGTGGTGACGGGGATTGCTAGTAGTTTTACCTTTTTCAAGTTTCAACCCCTCTCTCTTCTCCATCCCCGCGCCACCCATGTGACATTGATCACAACAATGTGTGCACACATTGTGCACAATCCTCTCCCCTTGGCCTCCCCGCCTCTTCCCCTCTGCGCCATCCCCGCCCTTTACCTCCCTCTCCTTTCTCCCCTCCCCCCTTTCCCTTCTTCCCCCCTACAGCCTGTAGGTGTGCGAGCAAGTGTGCCTGTATACCGCTGGTGCTGTACAAGCCAGTGTTGAATCGTCTCAACCCATCCCCACACTTTCCCCTCTGTACCATCCCTGCCATTCCTGTCTGTGCCACCCATCCCCTCAGAGTGCTGCAGGTGCGCGAGGGCATTATGCCAGCATACGGCATGGTTCTGCGGAAGCTTGACCTCCCATGTGACGTCTCATAACAGCCCCTCTCCACTTCCCCGCACTCATCTCTTCCCCTGCTGCAGGTGTGAGAGGACTTCCACCCCTCTCCAACACCCCTCTCCTTCACCCCTAAACTCTCTCACCCTCTCACACCTATCGCTCACTCACACCCATCACTCACTCACACCCATCACTCTCTCCTCTCATCACGTACTCATGCTTCCCACTCTTCCACTCCCCACCCTCCCAGCCACACGTCCTCCTTCCTAACCTGCCCTTCTTCTCCCCACCAGTGCCTCCCTTCCCTCCGTCTCACTTCGCCTTTTCCCTCGTTTTTCCCCCCGTCCCTCACAGTGCAGCCTGTCTCGTGCCTTCACTCTCAGCCCATCTCCCCCCGTCCTTTTCTACCCATAATCTCATTTCCGCCTCTGCCATCTTTTCCTACTCGCCACCCTCCCTTCCCCCCCCTTCCGTATGCGCTGTTTCTCCCGACTCTCACCCGTGCTGCTCCCACTTACCTCCTCGCCTCGTGTTTATCACTTCCCCCCTCACACGCCCCTTGTAATCTCTTGATAAACCCTACCCCTTCGCTCCCTTCCCTTCCTCTCTTCTCGTCCCTGCCCTCCCTTGTCCTCTACTACCTTCCCGCCCATCTCCACTCATCCCTTCCCTCTATGCCCCTGTCCGCTCCCCCGTTTCTCATTCCAGGGATTTTCAAACTGTGCCCCTGACTCGCGTCTCACAGAATGCATGTGCAGCACCAACACTCACCGTGCGTGAGTGTGATCCTGCAGAATGATAACGGGCATGACATGGATTTGGCGAGCTCGTTTAGGGATCATGGACTTGACACTGCTCCCCCCTCCCTACTCGCTGCTTTCAGATTGCTCATCCCCACAATCCCGTTCAACCCCTACATACTCCCTTATGCCATATCTCTCGAATCACCTTTCTCGTTGTGTCACCCGTGGCCTTCCACCCGTTTGCACTTGCCCTCCCCTTCTTTCCTCTCTCAATACTCCCTCTTTCTCTCCTCGCCTTACCCTCCGCATCCCTGTGCATATCCCCCTTGAATGCATCCCGTTTCGTCATTCCCTCCAATTCCGCCCCCCATCACTCTCGTTTCCCCCCTTGTCCTTCCCTCCGTTTCCCCACTGTCCCCCCCTCCCTATCCCCTCGTCCTTCCCTCCGTTTTCGCCACTGTTTCTCCCGCCTTTCAACCCTGTCCGGAAGACCGGTTCCCCCCTTGTCCCTCCCTCCCTTCCCCCGCTGACCTTCCCTCCGTTCCCCCCCCTCCCCCCTCCCTCCCTTTCCCCCGTGTCCTCCCTTCCGGTTTTCCCTCTGTCTCACCATCCCTCTCCCCCGTGTCCCTCCCTCCGTGATCACCCATGTTTCTCCCTCCCTTGCCCTGCGTCCTTCCCTCCATTTCCCCCCTTACTCTGTGCCTCCTCCTACGCCTCAATCTGCGTTTCATCTCTCTGCCTTTCGCCGGCCCTGCCCGTCGGCACCTCCTCAGTCGTGCGCTCCCCACCACCCCCCCCATTCCCTGCCACCCTCTGCCCCCCATCGTTCTGCCCATCGCTCCGCACGACTGTGGCGGCACACATAGCCTGCACCAGAGCTCGCCCCTCGGCCCACCCTGGCTGTGGGGGTGACAGGGATGGACTCGCGCCAGCTCAGGCCTGGGCAGGCAGGGCAGGCGGGGCAGCAGCAGCAGCAGCAGCAGTATGCAACGCTGGTGCCAACGCGGCAGTTCCGTGCTCCCGTCCCACTCCCGTCCCACTCTCTCTCTTGTCGCTCACACTCGCTCCCATACCCTCTCCCCCCCCTTTCTGCAGGATTATCCCCACATAACTTACGGGACAGGACATGCATTTGCATCCCCACTACTCTCCATCTGTCCGTTGATTAGAAGAAGAGTGACAATGTGCACCAGATTAGCCGCACCATTTTTGTATTGCGACAATGACAGGGTTGGAGCAAACACATGGGTCCATCCATGGTGTAGAATGTAGTGTTGGTCATGTATTGGCCTATGACGCCACCGAAACACACAGCTCCGTGCACTGCGTGTTTTAGGGATGGTTGTCGTGGTTGTAAGTACGATGGCAGAGCTAGTAAGGGTTCTCTCTGCTTGTTGTGCATAGTTTAGTTTGTATACCCCCCAACATCATGTGCACCTGTATATGGCGAGACATATTTGGCTTGTCGATGGATACATCCGGAAGAACCTAAACTGAAGGGAATTGTACCGGAATTTCACAACTTCAATGCCGACACTTGCTTGTCATACTGGCTACCTAGTAGCTTGAATGGAAAGGAAGAAAGGAAAATAAAGAGTGCTATAACCATAGCCATTTAGTCAGCATACTCAGGACCATGTAAAGGGTACGATTGCACCCGGATACTTTGGTCATTTGTCAAGGGAAGAACGTCATAGCGCGGTCTTGAAGAGGTGACATCAGGGACGGGAGCAGGAGGCTCCGAACATACGATTACGGGTTGGATTTGCCTTGAGAGGCTAGGAGGACGTTGGTGAAACAATCCTGGCGACTGGGGGTGGGGCAGGGCAGAGAAGGTGGCAAGGTAGTAAGGGTACAGACGAAGAGGGCCTGGGTTTATATATGAGAAAAGCCCTGATATGTTGGGGGTGGGGCGCGACGGATTTGAACGGAAGGGGAGGGAGAGTGGCAATGGAAAAGGGGAAGAAGAGGAGGATGGCTGCGCATGAGTAGTGTGCAGTCTCAGAGAGAGATGGTAAGTTGGTAAGGTAATAGCAACGGGAATGAAGTGGCAAGATGTGGTAATGGAAGGGGGGACCTGGGGAGGCTTATGAAGGAACAGTAGACACTAAGCTAGAATGAACCCACATGTCTTGGGAGAAGATGATGAAACTGTCGCCGGTATATATGAGTGGACCAATACACCAAATGTAATAATCATTGGGGGAGTAAGGGTGGAAGGAGGATGGGTTGTAGGAGATGCCGGAAAACTTTAGTTATGAGAGTGGCGAACAATAGTGGTGCGACTCCTACCTCAATAGTTGGCTGATTGCGTCCCCACTGCCTTTACTGCCACCGATTGTGAACTTTTGAGCCAGCTGCCCCCCGCCCTCCCTGCGCCGGCCCACGCTGAAGGTGGTTGTGCTGGGGCAGGGAGGCAAATGAGTCTCTGAAGGTGGTTCCGCCCCTTGTAATCTCTGGCTGCTGCTGTTGAAGTTGTGGTTGTGCTGACGCCGCACCAATAGCACTCCAGTTCTGCATGGGCAAGGGGAATGACATGATAGTTGACAGAAAACAAGGGGGGCGACAAGGGTTAGGAAGTTATAAAGGGAGGGTCGGATGGGAAATGGCATGAAAGGGAAGGGAGGTGGATAAGGTGAGTGAGGGATTAAACAAGAATATGGCATGGCTTTATGTTGGCTATAAGTGTGAGTTGCGTTGGCGGTGGGGTAAACTATTGTGTCTGCAATGAGATTGCTGCAAGGAGGTGGTGGGGGGTGGTGGTGGAATGGGGGGTGTAGGGTTTATTACCGATTTTGTAGCATGGGTTCCAACAACCGACTTCGTGTGTTGACGTGGTATGCGGAATGGTAGTTTGGGTCCACGACGAACGCCGAGAGAGGTCCGACCACGCTTAGCGTGGGTGATTGGAGATGTCACCTACATAAAGAGTGCAAAGAATGATTCCATCTCATTATATGGAAGTTATGATGAGAGAGGAGAGTAGGCCTTTTGCGAATAAAGCGGGAAGCGACTTACTCAAACACCGTCGCGTCCGTGGTCGCGCCAGTGGGCGAGGGGGGTTTCCCCCCTCATGCAGTGGTGCAGGCGTGGCAGGCTCAAGACCCTCCCGGGCGCTGGTGGTGCTCCCAGTGACATCCGGACGAGTAGGAACCGTCTGCTCCCCATCCATTTCCCCATTCAATGTTTTGAGCCACGATTCCATTATGCCATCAAGCCATGACCAATCCATTGGCGCTAAGGTCCGATCCTTATTGCCACGCCGAATCCGTGTAATCTTTCGTTGACGCGTGCGATACCCTGTCACCAACCGATCCATGCAGTTGTTCCAGTGCAGAACAGCAAGCGCTATTCGTGCTTCGAAACTACCCCGGAAACGGATCCTCTTGGGAGCGTACTTGAGGATGACTGAATGAAAAGATTCGTTAATGGAACTAGACGCACCATGAACGAACATTTTCACCTTGTCCGGCCCGCACCGCTTTGCAAGCCAATCCTGCACCGCCTTGTGAGTATCCGAACCCTTCTCGTAAATTGCAGTCTCGATGCCCCATCTCTCCGTCACGCAGCGAGATGTACGCCCTGATTGGCCACACCCCGAGTGATCGCCCGCCCAGTGGTTGGCTGCAAGCCCCAGCTCGTCGGCCACCTGTTCCGGTGTCATAGCTTTCCCCTCCGCCAGCCGTGCAGCACACCTCATCATGATATAGTGAAAGTGTGAAGCAAAACGTGAAGCCACAGTCACCCACCCATCGTCCGCGTCCTGGTCATCACTGTCCCGTTTTCTTTTCCGACGCTTGGTCCAACGCAGTGGTGGTGTAGGTTCGGATGCGCATCCAGTTCTTTCATCGTCTCCATCACCAGGATCATCAACCGCTCCCACAAGTCCTGCAAAGTAACATTAAACAAGGGGTGCGCATTATCGTTAGGGGCGAACGAATGCAATAATATCCAACAATTGGATAATTGCGTAGCCGCGAACTCACTAGCATCGAGATCGGAAGAGGTCCAAGGGGTGCTTCCTCCGATAAATTCCGATTGCACACCAGCCGACATGTGTGCATGCACCACGAGAGAAGAGGCGAGTGACGATGGCCGGGTGCCGCGCGCGGGGTGTACATCATACTCCCAGAGCTGGTCGACATCGCTCCACTGGACCTCCACCATCCTTTCTCCGGATTCCGGTTCCTCGTCCACATGCCCATCTGTCTCCACCACCCTCGGACCTTGTGTTGAACTGGCATGTTGTGCATTTGGCGCATCTCCGTACCCCACTGGAACATCAACCACTGTGCCACTGCACCCAACCCGTCGCACTTTCCGCAGCTCCAAATGCTTCCACTTTGCATCGTCTTGTGTCATCTTCACATAGGTGAAAGCCCCCATGGCTTTGCACACTGACTGCACCAAACTCTCCTTCAGTGTCGCTTTGCTCTCTTGAAGTAGCCCTTTGTTTTTCAGCCACTGCTTCAGTCCCTCAACCGTAGCAAGCCATAGATGTTCGATCCTACTAGCCTTCTCTAGCGGAACAGGTTCACGTACCGCGTCCTGTAATTCCTTCCGAAATAAGTTGTACAGCGTCTTCTTCACATGCCACGTGTCTACCTGATGGTTCAAGTTCCGCTCGGCAGCAGCTCCCTTGAATGTGGTTCCCTGATCTGAAACAATCCCCTTCACCTCAAAACCCTCCGCTGCTAAGGCATCAAATCCTTTGTCAAACGCGATTCTCTCCAACTTCACAGACGACTTGTCATGGACATGTTTCTGTGTCGTTGAGCAGTACAGTATTTTCCGTGTCACGCTATCCATAAAGGATACTGTA